CTACTGCTGTCAGTAATCTAATATATAGACCTGAGTGAATGCATTCTCTGCATAAGCTAGTCCTCAAGTTTGTTGCAGTATTTTTAGATTCAATTTACTGATAGTTACACGATTTTGAAAGAGGAATCAGGACATTCCCTTTAATGTTGCTTGAAATCTAAGTACCAGCAACACTTTAGGGATATCATTGAGATATGCAGCCCAGGCACTAGTTTTCCAAACCACTTGAATCTATTTCTTTTTTTAAAACCAGTATTGCAGCTTTTTGAACCAGTGGGGAAGTCACTTTGCCCTCTAGTTCTGTCCCTGGAGTTCTGTGCGTTGAGAAATTTTTTTTTTTTTTTCTGCTCTGATCTTGCCTTTGCAGTAGTGTATTTGTACTCAGCGTGGGAAGGAGGTCTTCAAGAAGCTCTCCCTCAGCTCTCTGGCCCTGTGCCGAGCCTCCAATAGGCATTGGCATGCATTTATAGAGCCTTACAGGAGGTACCCTGCATTCACTGGCATGTCCTCAATGTTGGGAACACTGCCCCTGTGCACTTGGTGGAGGTCAGTGGAAAGATCTGGATTTCTGTGTGAATTGACTGTGGGGTTGGAGTGTCTATGGATTCCTCCATCACTTGCTAGCCCATATAAGGCCGCTACATTCTCATTCCTGAGTTTGCTGGCTCTCCTGACTCTTGTCTGTGGCATAGCTCCTTATCTACCAGGAGTGAAAGGAGGCATGGGTCTCCTCTAGCCTCCTCTGTCCTAAGAAGGGCTCATCACTTACTGTACCATGGCTTATTTGGGGATTTTTTGCAACCACAACTTTAATGAACTTGGTAATCAAATCTATGACTTTTAAAAGCTTACTTAGCCTTCCTATTTCTGGAATTTGGGTAGAACAACCATTGTTTTGTGATTGCTCATCAAAACTGTAGGTGAATCTCATGGTGTCTGACCTTTCCAGAAATTCTTACTGCTTGATTTTTGTATTTTGAGCTATGGCAAATAATATTTATGTGTACCACATAAAATAGTGTCTTGAGGGACAAATTAATTATAATTTAAAACTAGAATCTAAGAAAAATAATTATCTTCCTCAAAATATGTTCTATCCTATTGCTAAATTTTACCACAAAACACAGTAAAGTATTGGGAAAAAATGTTTTAATATGTGTAGTTTTCCTTTTCATGTTCCACAAGAACATAAAATATGGATACTGATTAGAAAATGTATAGGTTCACTGTAGAAAAAGTTTCTTAAATTCATATTTTTGTAGTCTTCTAAATTTAGAAATCTGTATTGCATTCAAGCTTTTTATTCTTTGTATATATATTTAATTTATAAAGTAAAATAGAAAATTAGAAATAAAGAATTAATGGGCAAGATGATGAAATTACAAAATATGGCAAAACCAGAATGGTGAGTTAATTTCTAGTGCTTGCACAACTATGATAGCATTTATTGCAACTGAAAGCACAAAAACAACGTTTGAGTACCTTTATATTAATGTTAAGTATGTTATAGCATAATATTTTAAGTTTCTTATTTAGTAAGGGATAGTTGCAGTCTATCTGTCTGTATGAGTCTCTAAAAAGAGGCTTTTGTAATAAATGCAGTCAACACCAATATTGGGCTTTGTTGACATATAATACAGGGGACACTGTGTCAGTTACAGGACTCTGAGCAGATGCTAGTCAACAGAAGCAGTAATCATAACTGCATCCTTTCCTTCACACCTGGACAACGGCATGACTACCAATGATGTGGTCTGCCTGTGTCCCACCTAATCTCATCTCAACTGTAACTCCCACAAATCCCACATGTTATGGGAGGAATCCGGTGGGAGGTAATTGAATCATGGATATGGATCTTTCTGGTGCTATTCTCATGATAGTGAATAAGTCTCATGAGATCTCATGGTTTCATAAGGAGGAGGCCCCTGCACAGGCTCCCTCCTTACCTGCCGCCATCCATGTAAGACCACAACTTGTGTCTTTTGGCCCTTCCACCATGACTGTGAGGCCTCCCCAGCCATGTGGAACTGTAAGTCCATTAAACTCCTGATTCTTCCCAGTCTCAGGTATGTCTTTATCAGCCACATGAAAATGGACTAATACAACCATCAAAGACAGGAAATGTAACACTGAGAAGGTTTCAACTCAGTTGCTGGCACAAAAGAGAAAATAATATTTGCCAAGGAAACATAGTAGAACAGTGACAAAAGAGTAAATCAAATGTCCTAACCAGCACTGCCCAAATAATCATATGACAGAAATAGCAGAAACAAACTAAAAGACACTGACATAGCAAAATAAGTAAAAATAAAACAGATCTAATTATTTATGGGACAATAGCTTACTTTCATATTAGAGGATACAAAGGCACTTACAAGATACAAAGGCACTTACCAAAGGAACTCAAAGCACTTTAAAAATGAAGTATTAGATTAATATGAATCATAGATATAAACATTATTTGAATACTAATAGCTGGGTGTTAGAGCTGACTTCCAAGTGAGCTTGTTTTCCTTACATCCAGTGAAGTTGTTTCTCCATTATATTTTTAAAACTAAGACAAAGAATTTCCTAGTAAAAGAAAAAAACAATAATTCAGTCATTGGGGGATCCTATAAGGCTTATGATCTGTGACTCCCTGAGAGTTGAATTTTGCCTAATAATGTCTCTATGTGCAGATGAAAGATGGATGTAATCTCCCTTCCTGCTTTAATAATTTATTTTATTAATGGGAAACTTTTGGCCTAGAGAAGTTTGGCAATTCACAGTTTTTGCACGGCGCAGCTGGAGTCTTCATAGATTCAGCTGTTCATAACACGGAATGTAGCATCTTCTGATAGATTTTATAGAAGCAGCAGAATATTATAAATTTGCAAAGAGTGATAAATATCTACTTTAAAAGCACAAATATCTAAATGCAGAAAAATAAAGAAGCATTAATAAATTAAATTCAATTTGATGCTTAAAGGTTTTATCATTTGTTTCTGCATACAAGTAACTCTTCCTGCCTGTAAACTCCAGCATTGTATTTTTACATGAAGAGATTACTCCCCAACCATCCTCTCTACCTGGCAATAGTACTGAGATGATTCCAGCTACGTGAGTGGTCATTTTCAGAGCCGATCACTTAGAATGTGCCAGATCCAAGAACGTGTTCTTCCTGAATGTGTACATACCTTTGCTATTGTGCAGAATGGCCACCTAACCTCCTTTTCCTTCAAGATCTAATTATAAAATGTTAATTTTTTGATTGATTGTGAAATGTTTCTGAATTCTTCCAGGCTTATTTCCACATCCCCACTTTCCAGTGGTTTCTTCACCCATGTGATATAGGCTTAATCGTATTATATTATATTATTTGTTTCATATGTATTTACATAATTAGACTTAGAACTCCTGGATTAAATTGATTCTTTAGCTAAAAAATCAACAAAATATTTGATGCATAGTTATTATTCATTTTAGATTATTAAACAAATGAGAAATGAAGATCCCTGTTAAGTGAAGTATCTGGATATCATGAGTCTATTGTAACATATTTGGTTCTTTATGACTTTACAACTGTCCAATACAGAATTCCATTTAGGGCAGTAGACACTGCACTTTCCACGATGCACAGTCTGTATTTTCAATTCTTTGACTCTAGACCACCAGCACCGAGGGTGAATTATATTAATTCTTTCTCTTGAAAATAATCAATGTACTCTGTTTGTAATACAGATATGGTGAGATTATTTCTACAGAGTCTTTAGAAATAAACCTTCTCAGCTAAAAAATAGCAACTTAATGTAATATAATGGAGAATATAATTGAATAATAAATAATCTGCTAATTTTTATGTCATTGGAATGATATAAACCATTAACACAGAAAAAAGAAAGGAATACACAATGTATGCCAGCAAAGACATGAAATAGAAAGGAAGTTTTATTTCACACAATAGGAAAAAATGTAATTTTAGAACTAGCCAACATTAACAAGCAAAATATTAGCAAAAAAATATGATTACAGATATATCTGTATTTTAAGTTTATTAGAGTTTTTGAATGTTCATTACCAATATATTAATTGAATCTGATTTAGGTTGATGTATAATATTTGGATATTTAAAAGGTTAAATGAGAATATTTAATAGAGGCACTATCAAATGAAAGCATTAATTTGCTCAAAATTAATAAAATGAGATAACAAGAACATATAACATTTCTTTAGACTACCATAAAATAAAAGATGTCTTCACATTATCTGTGCAGTAATTACAGTATTATAACAATTAACAAGAATTCATGATAAAGGAGCATTTCAAAAGGATTGTCCACAATTTCACAGTTGGTAACCAATGGTACCAGAATAGAAATCTTTTTAATTCAGGGCTCATGTCACCCTTACATCGAGCAGTGGCACACTTTTTTAAGAACAGACAGAATGTACATATGAGTTCTAGGGCATTTTTGAAATATATCCATTATTAAATAATAGAGAGAGGTATCAAACTCAAGTCTCCTGTGTCTTAAGTCAGTTTACTACATACAGGCGAATTGATGATGTAGAAAGCAATAATATTAAAATGCCAAACATCACATCAACCATCCTGGCAATCCAATGCTCTTGGTCCTAGTACTATCTAGAGAATTTTAAAAGGAAGACATTACTTCCTTTGCTTCTTTTATTCACTCATGTATTTATTATTTTGTTAATTTACTTATTCATATTTTGTCATCTAATGCTGAATACATCTGTTAATATGAACTAGATATGTATTTGATATCTACATTGGTAGTAATTTCATAACTATAGGTAATGCTTACATTAAGACTTGAAAAATCTCTTTTAAATTTACAAAATTTTATATTAATATTATGTAATGTAAATGATGAGAAATAAGGGAAGCTTATATCCAGTGACAGAAATAAATTGCTCATGAAGGAAATGAAAAACTCTAGCAGAATTCTGCAATTTGGAGACAACAAGGAGCACTAAGGAGTGGAAGGAGTGTGTGATCATTGGGTAATAAAATAAAACTTTTAATTTTGCTAAAGCAAACAATGTTTTCTACATGAGAATAGTAGAACACAAGATTCATAAACATTTAAACACACGCACTTACATACATATATGCACACACATAAATGTCATACCCTAGGTCTTGCTGTTACCAATAGATGCAAACCCATCATAATCTTAATTTTAAATACTTTGCTGTCTGAGAGCTCACTTTCAATGATAACTCTTCATGGATTTCAGACTTACCAGGTCTACCATTTTTCCATGCTCCTCATTCTAACTTTTCTCTTCTACTCAACTTTGATGGGTCAGTGATCACAACACTCAGTTGGCATTAACCTTTGCCCTGCTCACTTTGTCCAGTTCCTTTGGTATTAACAACCCTGGTTAAATCTTCACTACTGCATACTCCATCTGTGCTCTTACAGATGAACTTAATGTGGCTGAAAGGGGTCCTGGGGTTTGGCACCGAACCACCCAATAAAATAAGAGAAATTTTGCAGTTTGCGGTGTTAAACCTTAGAATGTTTCAACAGTTCATTTTTTCAGTACCCATTAGAAACCTAATAGTTTGCAGGTTTATAAAAGAGGTCTTACATACATAAACATATAATAACTATTGTGGCAGTGAGATTCCACAGCCAGTAGTTATACTTAGAAAGTTGTTTCTACTCAGAAATGTTTGATTAATGTTGATCATGTTAATCATAAAATTTTTAATATCAAAAGCAATATAAAACATGTCAAATGACAAACACTGGAGAACACATATATTTAACTAACAAATTATTCACATCATTGATTAGACCATATTTGTTAATATTTTTAGGTCTTTTGTTAACAATGTATCAACCTGTTTTCTTTGGCTATTTCCCAAATTACAATTAGCATGATAATTTCTCAAAAATTAAGGAAAAATAAAATCTGTTTTTGTATTCATTTTAAAGACACCATTTTGTATGGCAACTGTTTATTCAATGCAAACTTTAATAAGATATTGCTTAAATGTACAAATATTTTTTTATTTTGCTAAACAAGTGGTTGTCCTATTGAGAATATTTTTTCTGCTACAGATGATATAAGGACAGCAGATGTTTCAGGAGCTATGTATGTGTATATATATATATATCATTATATATGTATGTGTATATATATATATATATATGTGTTATATATGTGTATATGTATACCTATGTACATATACAGCTACCTATATGTGNTGATCACAACACTCAGTTGGCATTAACCTTTGCCCTGCTCACTTTGTCCAGTTCCTTTGGTATTAACAACCCTGGTTAAATCTTCACTACTGCATACTCCATCTGTGCTCTTACAGATGAACTTAATGTGGCTGAAAGGGGTCCTGGGGTTTGGCACCGAACCACCCAATAAAATAAGAGAAATTTTGCAGTTTGCGGTGTTAAACCTTAGAATGTTTCAACAGTTCATTTTTTCAGTACCCATTAGAAACCTAATAGTTTGCAGGTTTATAAAAGAGGTCTTACATACATAAACATATAATAACTATTGTGGCAGTGAGATTCCACAGCCAGTAGTTATACTTAGAAAGTTGTTTCTACTCAGAAATGTTTGATTAATGTTGATCATGTTAATCATAAAATTTTTAATATCAAAAGCAATATAAAACATGTCAAATGACAAACACTGGAGAACACATATATTTAACTAACAAATTATTCACATCATTGATTAGACCATATTTGTTAATATTTTTAGGTCTTTTGTTAACAATGTATCAACCTGTTTTCTTTGGCTATTTCCCAAATTACAATTAGCATGATAATTTCTCAAAAATTAAGGAAAAATAAAATCTGTTTTTGTATTCATTTTAAAGACACCATTTTGTATGGCAACTGTTTATTCAATGCAAACTTTAATAAGATATTGCTTAAATGTACAAATATTTTTTTATTTTGCTAAACAAGTGGTTGTCCTATTGAGAATATTTTTTCTGCTACAGATGATATAAGGACAGCAGATGTTTCAGGAGCTATGTATGTGTATATATATACATATACACAGCTGTCTATATATTATCTATTTTCTAGATAGTATGTGTGTGTATATATATATATATATATACAGCTATCTAGCTATATATACTCTCTCTCTAAAGAGAGACAGAGAGAGAGAGAGTCTTAGTCAAGATGTACATGTGAGTTGAAAAGTTCAGGATAAGGCCTAGAGCATTCAGTGATATAAATGGTGGAAATACCACTTCATTAGCTTAGAGGACATAGTCGCCTTTTTTTCTTTTTTAGCAAGTTGATGCCAAATCAATTATATCCAAACACAATATAACTTTAAAAGCAACTATTTGTAAAATTTCTACTTTTGTAAAAAAAGGGTCAAAGGTACCAATATATAGCATTATTGCACCCATACAGAGATAAGATCTTTTTTTAACATTTTATAGATGTGAATTTAAATGATGTATTGTTTTAATATCTAAATGGTAAATTACATATATGTGTATTCTTCATATTCTTTCTATTGACATTTTTGCTAGTGCTTTATCTTCAGAATAAGCAAGCAAAAGGAATTTTATGAAAATATCTTAAATATTATTTAACATTATATACTTCATATGACAATTATAAAAATATGAAACATGCAATAATGCTGAGTGTCTGATTCTGTATGACTTCATTAGTGTTAAGATGCAGAGTATAAAATATTAGATTGCAATGATGTACACTATAGTGTGACAAAGCGAAACAGATTTAATGTGAAAAAACAAGTCTTCAGCAAAAGTTTTGTGATATTGAAGAATGTTCATCACAATAAAAAAATTTCCATTAACCATATGATCATTGAAACTTTAACATCTTGAAGCTTACTGAATTTTTTTTACCTTTTTATGTCATATTTCTACTAAAAACATGGAAAATATATTTTTATATAATAATAATGAAATGTATCATAAAACCTGGAGAAAGACATCTATATTCATGCTCATCTAAGTTAGCATTGACTCCTTTGCTTTTTCCTAACTAAAAAACTATAGAAATAGTGGATAAAAAATATATTTAAGATGACTTTTAGGACAGTAAAACTATTATGTATGATTCTACAGTGGTGATGTGTGTCATTATATATTTAGCAAAACCTATAGAATGTACAGCACCAAGAATGAACCCTAATGTAAACTATGGACTTTGGGTGGTGATGTAACAATGTGGTTCATTGGTTGTAACAAATGCACCACTGTGGTGCAAGACGTCAACAGTGGGGAGGCTGTGTGTGTGTGAGGATAGGAGCTTATGATTACTTCCTTTCCTCTCAAGTTTGCTACAAACTTAAAACTTTTCTAAAAAATACGCTTTATTGAACTTTGAAAACTACAAAATCAATAGCAAAATTATATCCATATTCAAAAACAAATATGGACCTCAAAGTCAGATTAGTAAACTAGAATTGATGCCACCATTGACCAGTGTGTATCCTAATCTGGGAAATGTGGTTTCACACTGTCCAAAGTAGGGATTTGAAACAAAGATCCTTTTATAAAGCCCGAAATCTGGAGGTGTTTCAGTACCTTAAAAAGCTCTATAATCAGCATAAGGAAGCTGCAAGGATCCTTACTTTCTACCCGTGGTCGTGATTATAGGAGAAAAGGAAAAAAAAAAAAAAAAACAGTAAAAACAGCCACCTACAAAAAATCAAAACTCAAGACCTGTTTTAGCCATGCTCAATGATCCCACTATGCATTCCCCTGTAATCCTAAAGCAAGAAATCATCATGAAAACTGGTTCGGGAGCAGAGAAATTCTTTTTGAGCCCTGGCAAAAAAATAATACTCTATTAAGATGCTTTTGCAATATAGGGCAAATGGTACACAGAACTCCTTAAGGGAAAAAGCAACTTGCAATGAAAAAAACATACCTGTGAGGTTTAATTACAACATGTAGCAGAATACTTTGTTTTCCTACCAATGTGGGTGATAAAAGAATGAGAATGATAATATAAAATTAAGACAAAAAAACAAAAACAAAAACAATACTTTTAGAAAGCTTGCTGTATTCACAATAAGAATGCCGTCATTCAATCAAAAACAGAATTTGAGGAATTACCTCTGGATTACATGGTATTTGATGCTGTAAGAAGTACAAAATTTTTGATGTATTCATTTAATGTATTATCAAAATAGCATCTGATCAAGACTTTTCACAAACACAAAGTGAGAAGGTTGAATTATCAACATAAATTTCTAGTATAAGAGTAGTATTGCCTGAAGTATTTAATGAAACACAGCATTCAGAAGGCCTCAGCTCATGAGATTTCCATACTTCAGAAGTCCAGTGATTACTTCTTATGTAACCACTGTTCTTATGAAAGAGTTTATCATTCTTTCTTACAAAGCAGATTTGATTATGTTGATAATGTTGCTTTTCTTTGCTTTTCTTTTATTGTGACAGTAATACTATTGCAAATATTTGAACATGCATAGCATCTGCAAATCCCACAATATGTGCTCCGCAGGGTTGAAACCTTGCTCTTTAACAGTTTTATAGGAAAAGAAAGCTAAATACTTTCTTGTTTTTAACACAGATGATAAAAATTTTTTGGATAGCATTGAAGAGTTCAAAAGGTGATAGAAGAGTTTCGTCTGAAGCTTCAGTGAAATAAAATTGGTTTCTTCTGAGAATAAGGTAAAAATATGTTTGTATGATACTGTTTTTACAAATCATTGACTCGTAATATTCCATATTACTTTTACAACGTGGTGGTTGATTCCATGGTTTGACTTAGATTTTAAAATAATTACTATTATTGTAAACAAATGCTGAATTCCAAGGAAACAAAGGAAAATCCAGAAAACCCATTAGAGATTTCAAAGGAGTGAATGAAATATAATATTTGCAAATAGGGTAAGAAGAGGAGATTAAAAGTTGACAGTTCAAGAGAAATGTTGGGGTTAGTTTTTTTTAACTATTAGAATACATTATATTGGCAGATAGTGCAATGAAACACCCAAAGCTAACTCCCAGCTTATTTAAGCAACTCATTGCCTAGTTCACTTTACTTCTCCAGGTTCTCTTTCGGCACCAACACTACACAATTCTGTGATTCACCAAAAGGAACATGTTATTCCAAACAGTGAAAGGTCTGTGAGAGACCAAGTCAGCATGATGAAGAGTGTTCAGGGAAGTGTGTAGGACATTATACCTTGGCTTTCTCCTATAACCCCATGTAGAGATTTATTAGTAAGTATTAGAGACAATGGGTGCATAAATTCACATTTCATTAGATTAGAGAAAGTGTATGTCAAGGAAGAAGACCCATTTCCCATTTACCATCATAGAGGAAGTAAAACAAGAGAGGAGAGATAATTTTATAGAGATATAAATATACAGCAAGATAGAGAAGTCAGAAGCAGCACATTTAACAAGATGTATATGCAAAGCTGATTAAAATATTGATAAACTAGAGATAGATTATTCACTTTAAAACTGACAAAGTCCTTTGGCAGCTTGATCCAATTGCATTTGAAGTATAATTCTATTTTAAATAATTGATTGAGACTAATATTCAGAAGCTTATTTAGTGTGTACTGTAAGCAATGTTAGAGCTCACCAAAGCTCAGAACTATATCCCTTGTTTAATTTATTTGCTGATGGAAATATTATGCCTTAGATTAAATTTTCAAATTATTGTAAAAGCTAAGTTTTCAAGTGAATGTAAAGAATGTGACAATTGGTAGTTTCACACAGCTCTAACTGTCACGCCTTTCTATGAGTGAAAGAATGAGAAACAGATTCTCTATTTGATTATCTATGCATTTATCATCTGTCTTGTCTGCATTTTTCCTCTGAGCACCCTACAGAGGACTGTACAGCTAAAAGGTTTTCCATTATATGTAATTTAAAGTAGAACAAATGATATGCAATCATATACAATGTGAGAAAAATTATGACCATCTCCTCTACAGAGAAACTCACATTTAGCCTCAATTTACTCCCAGAAGGCCTGGGACAGACATCCTTGGTACTATTCTGAGGGTCAGGGGGTGGAGAAGGAGCCAGCTTTCCTGCTACTTCAATAGGAATGTGTCAGTCCTCTGCTGACTTGCATACATTTTATGCCCACACACTATAGATTTAACTGGAAAAATAGGCAAAGCACCAACCGAGCACACAACGGCTCTAATTATTTTCCCGTTGTATTGTCCCCCTGCTTTGTACCTGAATTTCTAGATGTTTTCTGGTTTCCATTTACACAGAAATACAAGTGGGTATAAAAGATTAGCCCCTCCTGGGAAGCCTGGTGCTTTAGAAAAGTTTGGGGGTTTTTTGTTTGTTTTTTTGTTTGTTTTGGCTATAAGGAAGAAAGACATGCTCAAGTTGTTCTGAGAAAAACAAGGTGGTATATTTAGTGTGAAGAGATATCTTCATCTATGGCCTGGCTCTTGAGAAACTTACTATTTCTTTTTGCTTCTCAGGGTGTCTATGCCAACATCCCTGGAACAAATATTATCTCTTCCTGCAATTCTGTTGTTGGCTGGTGTTGCTGGTTAGAGCTACACTAAGTGCTAGGCAGGGGCTGAAGCCGCGATGGGCATGGGAGGTCACTCTAGGAAGTGGCTGGCTGGGTGGGGAAATTCTGATGACCTCTAAGCCCGCAGCTCTGATCTCTGAGTTGAAGTTCTGCTCTCCAAAGTGAGCATGACTCAGAAGCATTTTCGGGTCACCTGTCTTTGTCAGCCTTACCTCACTCTTCTCATTCTCTTAAGAGGTTTAGGAAGAAATGAAAATTATAGGGATTAGTCTCCACATAGCAAGCAAGAACTGTGGGGATGATCATTTGCTTTCTAACCTGATTTCTTCTTGTGACTTCAGAAGCTTCCTTAATTTCTAGTTAGAAATGTTTATCAAGCATATTTGATTATTATGTATGAAGTATCTGCCTTGTGCCAGTCAATGTTGGAGGCAG